GGCAAGCAGCCATGATGCTCTGCCTCACCACAGCCTCATAAGAGACCAGGTAACCATGGACTGAACACCCTGAGACCTTGAGCCAAAATCAACCCTTCCTCCTTTGGGCTGACCTTCTCAACAGAAAGCTGACTAACACAGTGTGTATACTGCAAACCCCCACCCCCAAAACAGGGCTGGTATGCAGGTGGAGAAAAACTGGTGTGTTTCCAATGCAGGGATTTTTTTTCTATAGCGTTTAAAATTCATTAGTATAAGGCTGAAGACTTTTATCATTTTACACAATCTCCAGAAAGACCACAACTTGGTGGGAAAGCTCCAGAGCTGTCTCTTGCTAGTGGATAAGGAATATCTTACACCCTAAGTCTCCACCATAGAGTAATGTGACCTTAAATGGCCAGAGAGGAAGGGTCCACTGACCCAGGCCCAAGTACTGAGTGTCCTGCTCAGCTGGCCAGGGTAGCACCCGGGGCCTAGGTGTCACACTGGTCTGACCAGCAGCCAGCTGCCCCCTCCAAGGTCTTTACTGTGGCCTTCCTACTCTCCTTCCAAGCCAAGAAATGCCCCCAGGCTCCTCTCAGCCAAACTCAAATAAACAATCTCCTAGTCCCATTACACTCCATTTCTTCTCATTGGTCAAGAGAAGATCCACAGAAATAAGATTCCTGTGGGCTTTAGGGCCTTCCTGGACTCTTTGTGTGTTGGGACCTCATATCCATTTCAGGAGTTCTCTAAAGCAAAGAGACACTGTGTTCTGTAAAATGCACCCACACACCAATGTAGGCACAGGATCTCACAGAATTCACAAACCACCTCCAAAGCCTGGACCCAACAGCTATTGCAGAAGAAGAAAGCCAAAATAACCACAGTCATGCCCAAAGACACTATCTTTGCTGGCACCTTGACGCACTGCACGCATATTATTGTTGGCAACACCTTTGACAAAAAGAAAGTGGCACGTGTGAGTCCTGCAACCAGAATCTGGGGAGAGGGCAACTATGATATGGGAAGTACGACCCCAACGTAGATCTGTTGGAGTCCTCACCCCTAGTACCTCAGCATGTAGCCTCTGAAGACAGGGTCCTTACAGAGGTCATCAAGTTAAGGACCTAAAGATGTTGGATACAGAGAAAGGAAGACACTATGTGAAGATAAAGGCAGAGATCAGGTGGTGCATTTAAAAGCAACACTCACCAAAGACTGGGGAGAGGCCTGGAATAGACCCCACAGGGTCCCCAGAAGGAGCCAGCCCTGCCAATGTCTAGATCTCAGACTAAGAGCCTCTAAACTTTGGGAGGTAAATTTCTGTCCTTTATGCTGCTAAGTCCGCAGCAGTCTGCTAAGGCAGCCAGTGAAAACTCTCAAGCAAGGGCCACCCTGCTCACAAAAGAAGGACTCCCACAATTCCCTTGCTGCTAACTGCAGGTTGAGCACCCTGGATCCAAAAGTTCAAAAATCCAAAACATGTCTGATTTGAAGCGTTTCAGATGAGGACACTCAGTCCCTGGTAGGAAAATCCTCAATGTAGAAACAGGGCTGGAACAAGTCTCCCTGGTCACCTCACTATGGACACACCATCTAACCTCTCCTGGACCTCAGTCCCCACCCGTCAGATGTGGGAAAAAGTCACTTCCCAGCAAGAGTGGACGTTAACCTTGCCCAGCTCCTCCTGCCAACTCGGATCCCACAGCCAGCTGCCCCCTTGCAGACTCAAACCCTGATTTGCCCACCTAGTTCTGCTTTTCTCACTTTTCTCACTGCCTCCTTCCTGGCCAGTGCACCTGGTCTACTCAGGAGTTCAGCAGGTGCCCAGGTGCATGCCACAAGCCTCTTCCTCACCCACATCCATCCACCAGCAAAACCTGGACAACATCTCAAAACAAAAGGCCCAGCCCACCCAGGTCAGCCATCTCTATCCCACTAGGAGCAACCTGTCACCTCAGCCTGGATACCTGCCACAGCTGCATCTGGGCTCCTGTGTGTCTCCGGCTTGAACGCTGCCCTCCGGGTGTCTGTGCACCATGGCCCCCAGAGCCAGGTCCCCACGAGCTGTGTCCTTCTGGCTCTTCCATATGAACCAGGCTTTGCCCTGACCTTCAACTCTTGCCAAGTCTTGCCACCCACACCATGGGGGTCTAGAGCTTGTCAACCTCCACACTGCTGGGCGATTGAGACTAGATAACTCCTTGTCATAGGGGGCTCTGGTACCACCCAGGATGTTTAGCAGCACCCCAGTCACTAGGTGACAACTAGGTGGCAAACACACACCCAGTGTAGCAACCAGAATTCTCCCCTACTGAGAGCCACAGTCCTATTCCTGCTCTGCCACCCTAACGTGAGTCAGGCCAGACCTGCCTCAGGACTCCCCTGGGCCCATCATGCCTATGAGACCAGCTGCGTAGCTTGGGACCATGAGTGAAGAGCCAACTGAAGTAACTGCAGGGCCAGCGAAGGTGTGGTGTAAGACGGGACGGGACACACAGTCATCTGCCTGCCCCCTCCCCCAGCAGCTGCTTGACTGTCCCTCTTCCCACAGGCAGGAAACAGAAGTGCTACCCTCCCCACTCCTAGATTCTCTCCTTTTGTGCCTGGGAATGGGACAAAATGGAGCACAACCAAAGAAAGATGTGTCCAGGCCACATGACCATCCCCATCTATTAATTATGGGAGTGGGAGGGAAGGTTTTTGAAATTACGACAGCCAAAGCTGCCCAAGTGGACCAATTCACTGCCATTCTCTCTGCTGATGGAAGTGTGAATTGATGTCAGTGTTTTGTTTTGTTTTCTGGTACAGGGAATCAAACTCACAACGTTACGCTTGCCAGGCAGGCGCTATGCCACTGAGCTAAATCCCCAGCCCCTGATGTCAGTGTTGGAAAGCTTGTGAGTACCGGCAGGACTATTCTGGCCCAGGAACCCCAGTTCTGAAAGGCAATCCTAAACAATACTAAACACAGAGAAATAGATGAATCTACGGACAAATACATCAGTATGGCATAATTTTTAATACTAAAAAATCCTAAAGCCAGGGATACTAGTACATACCTATAATCCCATCACTCTGGGAGGCTGAGGCATCAAGTAGTACATACCTATAATCCCATCACTCTGGGAGGCTGAGGATTACAAGTTCAAACCCACCCTGGGCAACTTATGGACTTGCTAAGACCCTGTCTCAAAATAAAAAATAAAAAAGAAAGGTGGGTGTGATAGCAAATGCCTTAATCCAGCACTCAGGAGAAGCGCCATGAGTTTGAGGCCAGCCTGTGCTACACAGCAAGACCCTGTCTCAAAAATTAAAATAAAATAAAATAAAACAAAAAGTACTGGAGATATAGCTCATTTCAAAGACCTTGGGTCCAACCCCCAGTACAGGGTGGAAGTGGGGAACACGGAAACAATTCAATTATCTTATCATGAGGGAAAGGCTGAAAACATTATCTCCTCCACAGAACATTATGTAGTCACTGAAAGTGAGGTCTGTGGAGAACTTGAATGGAAAAATACAAAATATAAAACTGCATCTGCTAGCGGACGTGGTGGCACACACCTGTAATCACAGCACTTGAGAGGCTGAAGCAGGAGGATCTCTGTGAGTTCAGTATCAGCCTGAGCTACATAATAAGTTCAAGGCCAGCCTGAACTGCAGAGTGAGGCCCTGTCTCAAAATAAAAATAAAAATAAAAATAAACATAAAAGTGGCATCTGCAACATGACTATGCATGACTAAAAACACTGCTTTTTAAAAAGCACAGCCCTTGAAGGGGAAAGAGGTAGGAGGGACGCAGATTTTTATTTTGTCTTTCTAAATCTGAAGTTCTCAAAATTTTTTCAATAAATGGATTAGTTTAAAATGTTTTTTTCCAGGCATGGTGGTGCACGCCTGTGATCTCAGCACTCGGGAGGCTGAGGCAGGAGGATCACTGTGAGTTCAAAGCCAGCCTGGGCTACAAAAGCAAGTTCAAAGCCAGCCTGTACTACATGGTGAGATATTATCTCAATAAATAAATAAATAAAATATTTTTTGATGGATTGTCTTAACGTGAAGAAATAAATTCACTCCTGTGCTTTAGGGTTATGTGATTACAGGGCCCCTGTCCAAACACCGATGGATCCCCCCCCAGCAGCTCACCAATCCTTAAAAGCAGACCTTAGCTTGAACATGTTCCCATGTGGTCATATGTGGTCCCTGTGAGACTAGAACATGGGTCAGTGCACGCCTATAATCCCAGAACTCTGGGAAGCTAAGGCAGAGTTTGCAAGTTTGAGCCCAGCCCCGGCAATTTAGCAACCTAGCCAGACCCTCTGTTTACTCCCCAGCATTTAAGGGGAAAAAAATCAAGTGTTGGAGCCCTGGGTGACACCCAGGGAGAGTCGGAGAGGGAGCTGGGATGAGACCTAAGGGGCCAGTGGCAGGGAGGGGTAATGGAGCCAGGAGGCTCCTGTCCAACCTCCTGCCCCTGCTCCTGCCCCTGCCACAGGAAGGAGCCAGAAGCAGAGACCAGGGAGAGGAGAGGGAAGAACGAATTACACCGTCTCTGCTCAAACAGAAGAGCTGAGCAGTGTGCTCCCCACCAAACACATGTGGAGCCTGAGCCATGGACCCAGGTCACCTGGGTGGTTGGTAGCTGCTTTTTCTTATCCCAAGTGCTGGTGGCATCTATAATAAGACCTGGTCCCCACTTCCATCCCCCCAGCTGAAAACACCAGTGAGCCCCATGTATTACCTGTCCACCTTCCACAATGGCTCGGAGCCCCTGAGCCCTCTGGTTGTAGAAGTGGGGTCTGTGGTCAGGAAGCCACAGAATGAACCTGACACCAAACAAGATGGGCCAGATCCAAATCTGCCTGACTCCTTTTCTTCTGGGCAATCCCCACACACCGTTCTCCTGGCATCCATCCCTCTCTCCAGCAGGAAGGGCAGCAGGAAGGAGGGGCTTACTGCCCTGCCCCCAGGTCACCTGCAGAGGGGCAGAGGGTGGGGGCAGGGGAGGCACTGACCTTCTCCAGCTTCTCAAAGTGCTCCCGGAGGAACTTCATGGGACGGTCAGGCTTGGAGACACAGAGGTGCACAATGCAGTCTTTCAGCACCTGCTGGATGCTGTGCTTCTGGACGTACAGCTCGCACCCCTTCAGACTGTCCTCCTCTTCTGAGGGGAAGGACGACGGGGAGGCCATGGCCAGGTGTCTTTTTCCTTCCTGCTAAGAAACTGCAAAGCACAGGGCATTAGGAGGGGATGGGAGAGTCCCCTGCTGCCCTCTGTGCTTCACTCATATACAGAGGACAGAAAATAAGGAGGCTCATCACTGGGGGTCCGGCCCAATGGACCATCATTCATTCTGCATCCGTCACAGATCTTTCCGTTTGGAGGCTGGATGACTTGTTTGCTATATGGTATCAGCCTCCAAAGCCTCACCATCCAACAGATTCTTTCGAGGTGGAAAAGATGCAAACAAAATGTGTGGGCGATTAGAAGCCCCCTCCAAAGCACCTCCGAAGAAGCTGCGGTGAACCAGGCAGAAGGCCTGGCCTGTGTTAAACGGCCTCCCCCTCCCCGCTTAGGAACACCTGTGTGAAATGTAAACGCCACCATAGGAGGCCCCCGGGGAGGGATCCTGGGGCGATGGGGATGGCATACTGGCCAAAGATTAGGGTAGCCTGCTTCACAGGAAAAGAAACGCTAGGAGGAAAATAGAGGAGACCCAGCTAGGGGGGCGGTGAAGAACAATAGCTGTGTGCGCCCCGCGCCTGGGTGAGTCACAATGGCTAGGTCCACGCCTGCCCAGACGCACCCGGGTCTCCAGACCACTGGAAAGGAGCCTCCAGACGCTGTGCCCCCTACTCAGACCTCAGCCTGGCCTCTGCGCCGGCGGGACGCACCCCCGCCCCCCAGACCTACACTGGGGCCTGACTCCTCTGCATCCGCCTCGCTCTCCGGCCCGAGCCGGGGGAGGAGACTGGGGTGGGGGACACCGCGGCCAGAGGTCCCCACTGCCAGAGCCTCCTGGGGACCCCAGAACCCTCGCAGACCCCACCGCAGCCCTCCTACCTGGATGCGCAGCACCGGAGGCCGAGAGCGACTGCGCGGGGACGCGAGGCGCGGGGACGCGGGGACGTGGGGACGCGGGGACGCGGCGACGGCGACGCGGACAGCGGGTCCCCGCACTGCAGCGGTGCCGCCCTGTGCCCGCCCCCGCCGCGCGCCGCCGGCTCTCAGCGCACCCAGATCCTCCTAAAGTGTCTGACCCGGCCTGCGCGCCCCCAACCTATTACCCGCTCCCCCGGACCCCTTCTGTAACCCTCTCTACCCACTCTCCTTCAGTAGGAGCCTAGAGCTGCCCACACTGTGGGTTTAGCTCACAAGAGCCCAGCATGGCCAGGGGACTCCCACCCTGCTCTTTGGGCACCCCCTCACCCTGGAGGGGGGTGGTCACTGTAATAGCTTCCTAACCCACAGGTGCTGCCTGCCAGGAAGAGATTGGGTCCCCCTACACACAAGGCATCCAAATCCCAAGAGGACAGGTGGGCAGGACAGGTCTTGAAAAACACTCCACAGTCTTCACTCACCTGTCAGCATTCACCTGTCCCCTGCCTGTTCTCCCCACTCACCTGTACATACCCGTCCACAGGTACCTGTCTCCCCTCCCCCTCACCTGTCCACTGGATTTGTTCAAACTCACTTGTTGCCTCACTCACTTGGGCACACATGCCCAGGGGCCTTGGCCAGCCTCTCCCCACCCATGCAAGGACAAATGGACCTTGGCTCAGGGGTCAAACAAGAAGCTCTGGTGCCGCAGCCTTTGCCCTGTCCACGGATACACCTTTTAGAAGAGGGTCTTTTTGAGAAATTCTCCATCTCTCCTGAATCCAAACTCACATCACACTGCAGCTCAAACAAACCCAAAACTGTTTCAGGGGCCACTTGCCTTCCTCCCCTGACCCTTGCTCACTTCCTGCTGGCTCCTCTTGGTGACCTGGTGAGAAGGGTGACACCTGGCATTGAGGGTGTTCAGGCTTTGGGGATGCAGTGCTCTAGGGCCAGCTTTCCTCCTGTGGGATTCCCTGAGGTTTTCTGGTGTTCCCCTGCAGGCACTCTCCTAGGAGGAATGTGGGGTCAGCCAACCCCCTTTGGCTGACCTCAAAAGACAGCCCTCCTATCTGAAGCACCTCCTTGTGAGCACAGCGCTCACCTCCCTTGGCACAGAGCCCCTGCACTGTGTCCTGCCCTGACCAGGCCTCACTCAGAGGTGCCTTCTACTGAGACCCTCTCTTCACCTCACTGTGATGGAAGCTCCCATTAGCCTCTCACTTGAGACTTTTCCAGGCTACTCAGGTCCCCACAGCAGGCTCCTCCCCACATTCCCTCCTGTGTGTGAGCCCTCAAGCCTTTTACCTCCCTCTGCTGTGGCTTGAACAAGGGAAAATAGTTCCAAATGTCCCATTCACTGTCTGATCGATCTTCAATGACAGTCAGAGACAGAAGTACCAAGACATTTGGCCAAGGCCATTCCCAAACAACCACTGCTGTCCTCAGATCTTCTCCCCAGTTAGCCTCATAAATGCTTTTATTACAAAACCAGTGGGTTTTTGCTTTTCACTGGTTGCAGCTGAAACATGGAAATGGATATATCCCCTGATCAGACGTACATGGTCCCCATACATTAAAAGTGGTGAGCGCAGGTCAAGCGAGGAAACTAAGTGTATGATCAGCAGCCACTGCCCTTAACTGAGGACACCAAGAATGTTCCTCATTGGGCTGGGTCATATACCATTCGACCACTTGCAGCAGGCCACCACCCTCTTGGATCGGGACAAATTCTGGCTCTTATGGGTTTTCCGGGCAGCTGCATCCTTTTAAGAAAACATGCAGCTGGTGATTTGGTTATCCATCAAAAGCCCTAGTAATCATTTATTCATTGAAGTCCCAATTATTCATTCAAAAGCCCCAGTAAAAGTCCCAGACACCTCTTCTGGGAATGTCCAGTCCTCCCTGGGGAGGGTCCACACTATGTGCTAAAGGGGATTCTTTAAACATTTCCAGAGACATTGGCATTTCCCAGATCCTAGGGCTTTCAGTTCCCTCAAAGCCTGACTCTAGGGTCATCAAGTGACCAGACATGCTGTCATCAGAAGAGCTATTGAAGCCAGGCATGGTGGTGCGCACACTTGTAATCTCAGCACTCTGGAGGGCTGAGGCAGGAGGATTGCAAGTTTGAGCCCAGCCTGGACAATTTAACAACTTAGCAAGACCCTGTCTCTAAATAAGTAAATAAATCCTATTGGCTTAATTTCTGTCTCCCTTATTATGTTGAAAACACCACCTAGACGTGGACTGTCATGTCTTGTTTTTTTTTTTTCTTTGCTATGTATTTATTTTTGTGAAGTGGTTACAGAAGCCTCAGTGGTTACAGACTTCCCCTTCTGTAGGTCTGAGATGCAGAGTCCATTGAAGTCTTCCTAGATAACACTGCCTGGTATGGTAGACAGACTCTAAGACAGCTGTGGGATCCTGGCCTTGCTCCCCATGGTATCCCAGCCTCTGAGGGTTCCCGCCCCAGTGTCCTCTCCCTGAGCACAGCAGGGCCCATAACCTGTATCTAACCAATGAGCTGCGCAGGTGATAGAGGTACAATGCACACGTGTTCTGCAATTAGGTTACATAGGATCATAATGGCTGTCTTGTATGTGTTATTCTGGTACTAGGGATTACCCAGGACCTTTGCGCTGAGGTACATCTCCAGCCCTTTTTTATTTTGAGATAAGGTCTCACTAAATTGCCTAGACTGGATTTGAACTTGCACTCCCCCTACCCAGCCTCCTAGAGTGCTGGGATTACAGGTGAGTGTGACCATGCCCAGCCCTGGCTAGTTTTAAAGATACTGACTAAGGTGTGACCTCGTGTGCAGAGGGTGTCAAGTGTAGCCACATCTGATAGCCTGCAAGCAGTGATATTGTAAACAACCCCCTGAGCCTGGGGATGAGTATCCCTCAGAGAGCCTCGGGAAACCCAGCCCTGACACTGATCCCCAACTTTGGAGGACACAGCCCGCTTGGCCTGGAGACTCCAGAAATCAAGAGACAATGAGAGTGTCACTTCAGGTCACTGATGCACAGCCACAGAGAACTAATTCAAGGGGGGAATCGAGGAAAAGCCCAGTTACAGGTGTGGGTTGGAGCAAGAAAAGAAGACAGCTGCCAGAGGAAATGTGTGAGTAGTGAGCAAGTCTGTATGTCAGAATATAAGAAAAAATTAAAATAGCACAAGCCTGCCACACGAGAGAACAAACAGGGAACCAGAGTTCAGAAATAAACCCATGGCCGGGCGTGGTGGCGCACGCCTGTAATCCCAGCACTTGGGAGGCTGAGGCAGGAGGATCACTGGGAGTTCAAGACCAGCCTGGGCTACAAAGTGAGCTCAAGGCCAGCCTGAACTGCATAGCAAGACCTTGTCTCAAAAAAAGACAAAAAAAAAAAAACCACAGAAATAAACCCAAATGCGGTAGTTGATAAAGGTGATGTTCTCTATGAGCAGGAAAAAGAACTCAATAGTTTGGAGATAGTAGGAAGCCACCTAGGAAAATGTAAGTGGGATCCCTATAGTCTGGCTCACACAGACAAAATTCAGATGGAGCACAGAATTAATTATAAACTTGGAAACTGTGGAAGTCATGGACGAAAAGCTGGAAAGTGTATAATGTTGGAGTGGAGGGGGACTTTTGAAACATAATACAAAATCCAGAAAGCATAAATGTAAAACTTGGTATATTTTACCACAGAAAAACATGAAAAATTTCTCCATGTAACATAACCCGGAAGACAGAACAAGATACAGATGTTTATAATATATATTACAAAAAGGTTAATTTACTTAGTGTGAAGATACCCAACTTTGCCCAAAATGAGAAGGCAAATTACAGCTATAGGGAGATACCACTGTTTACTTATCAGCTGACAAAAACATTCAAAAATTGGATAGTGATGTTTTGCCAAGGGCACTGGAGAAATCATTTATTCAGGTGCAGAATTTCTCTAGAATGGCACTGCAGAAACCAGACAGAGGTAGCCTCTGAGTGGGGAACTATATATCTGAGTGAGAGGAAAAGACAGACTCACTGGCTCCTGGGTCCTTGAGTGTATTTTTAATTTTATACCACATGTAAATATTACCCCTTCAAAACCAGTTAACTAATTTCCTCTGTTTTAAAATGTTTAAGATGCAGAATTTAAAACACTTGTGATTTTCACTGTTTCCTACAAGCACACTAAAACCACATTAACAACATTCTGTTTTTAAAAGCACAAACCTACAATGAGGAGGGGGCACATGCCTGTAATCCCAGCTCTCTGAGAGGCTGGGATAGAATTGTGATTTTGTGCCCAGCTTAGGTAAATTAGAGACTTACCAAGACCCTGTCTCAAAATAAAAAAAGCTCAGTGCAAATGCCCTGGGTTCAATTCCCAGTGCTGTAAATAGCAGCAGCAGTAGTAGTAGTAGTAGTAATACTAACAACACAAACCCCCGAAAACAGTTTTTGGAAGGTTTAAAGTAGATATGAGACAGCCATTGACTTATAAGGACTGAGGCGGCTGAGCTGTAAACCAGGGGTGGGGGTATCAAGACCCACCTCATATCCCAGTATTCAAATGCCTCAGGCAATGGCTTCACATGATCCATGCAGACCTGTGTGTATAGCCGCACAACTCAAAATAGCTAAATCTGTGTCCATCAATAGATGAATGGATGAAGGAAATCTGGTATTTGTACACAATGGGGTGCTACTCTGCCACAAGGAAGGATAAATTTGAGTCATTTGTAGGAAGATGGGTGCACCTTGAGACCACAATGTTAAGTGAATTAAATCAGACATATGAGTTTAAATATCATGTAATTTACATGAGAAACACAAAGTATAAATACTTTTAAAAACAAAAGACACTAGGAAACAGAGATACATCTTTTGCAAATGAGAACAGGATCTAGAGATGGAGGGAGGGAAGGGACTAAAGAGTACTAAGATGTGTTAGGTCCATGTTCCTACTCCCTTGATGAACCTAAACATTATGGACCGCAAACATGTATTAATAAAAATAATTTTTTAAAAATTGTTTTACCAGATGCCCAGTGGTAAAGTAGAGGTTTGCCAGAATGAAGACTG